ATTCCGATAATTGTTTAGAGAATATAAAGTGACATTCGGCTTATGTAGGGACGGGCATAAAGTTAACTCATGAAACTTAAATTAGGAAAGACCTCAAATGTAGCCAGCAGAGAGTCCTGTATCATGGTAATTATAATTCGCAGCAACACTGTTGGCTTGTCACTAATATAGGAGATAACGGAGTACAAACGAGGCCGCCCTTACAACATAAATAAGTTAAAAAAAGGGGGCATATAAAGCAGAGATACTGTGGCAAATCAGAGGCCATACCATCTAGTCAGGAAGTTATATTATCATATAAATAATTATAAATCCAAAGAAATATTAACAAATGCGACACACTATGCCAATTTTTATACAAGACCCCTATGGTCCGAAATTAAGGCACGATAATCAAGGAAAATAGAAATTAGACTGTGCATTAGCATGATCAAATAATTCAGTAAACGATGCTTTGAAGAAAAATCTCCGTGCACCCATGAAATAAGAAATCTAGACCAAAGGCTAAAGAAGGGTTTGAAGTACTACTCTTAAAGGCCAAAGGTCATTTACTAGCAAATAGAATTCAAGGAGATCATACCAAAGAAATATGAGAGCAAACAAGCAGAAACTGGAGTCCATCCTGGATAAGAACACCTTTTGAGAAAGCAAGGCTATGTGAAAGTCAATGGAAACGGCAGCTCTAATCATATCATTGTGCTCATAGATATTGCCGTTGAATGAAAAATATGTCGGATTTATCGGTCGTGTTAATGACTCCTTCCATATCCGCTTTGCCTTCAAAATATCCTCCTATGGCTCCAAGATCTTCAGCAGGGCAGTGACTGTCTCCTCAACTAAGACAATGCGACCAAGTTGCGAAAACAAGGCCAAGCAACTTCAATACAACGAACCGAGGCCGCGACTATGCCAAAAGCCACATCAATAGGATCTTCAGGCCTTCTATTAAGCTAGGAAATAAGTAATAAATATGGATGGCACGTGGGCATTTAATATCTCTAATAGAGCTTAAATATTCCATTACCTTGTAGAGAACATTAAAAAAAATTCTGTCTTAATCCTATACCACATCCTGCTCTTACCAAATCTGTAGCTCTTGTTAGATGTATTCCATTTAAAAAGAGCAAAAAATTGCCGCGAATACTTTCACGAGTCCTCAAATACATGTAGGTACACACATGAAATTCATATATCCCATGATACCTTTTGTTAGATGAAGAATGTATGTGCACTATGTATTTACTATTTGATTTTGTATCTAGATCGAATTCATTAGGGAGTTCGTTTATTGGCTAAAAAACTGATTTACACTAACGAGTATGAAAGCAAAATACAGAAAAGTAGACTTCCATTCATACGGGCTGTTTTAAGTGCCCCAAAACAAGTAAGATAATAGTAAATAAAGCAGAGGAAATCGTGCAAGCAAGCAGTCAAAGGGATAGTGAAATGTGAATGGAATACTCTACAAGCATTATGCAGGCAACTAGGTGTACGAAACGGCATGACATCTTTGTGACCTGAGGTAACAGACATGCGAATAAAATGAAGTGTACGAAATAAAAATAAGCAATTGGGATTAGTATGATGAAGGTGCTTACGTGATGCGGGAAAACAGCAAATAACTGTAGTTAATACTCGACGCCAAAATGTGATGGTAAGAGGAATAAGGTAGAAAGGTCCCTCCAAGAAATCCGCCACAAGAATGAGATTGTCAATACTATACATTCATTTAAAAAATACTAGAAAGCCAGTTCTCAAAAGGGGGGAATAAAAACTACCTCGATACCTGAGAGAACTAAATATATTGATTCCATATCATGTAAATAGTGGGCTAGGCTGAGGTGGGTTTTTTTGCAAAAGCAGAGAGAAATAAAGACCTATTCATTTTTAAAATTCTCGTAATAATGAGAAAAGTAGAAGCTGACGTCTACCTACGCCACTTAAGCAAGGATGTGTATGTCTTTGCAGTTGAGGCAGATGATGAATCAGAGGCCATGGAACCTTCTGAACCCAAATTCAGAGAATGGGAGTTGGTTGGATTTTCTGAAGACTGTGGAGTAATATACGAGAGGTTTGGGCGAGCAGAAGTATGGGGCATGGATGTATGCGCAGTGGTGGAAAAAGGATTACGGGAACGAGTAAAAGAGGAAGTAGAGTAAGGAGCGGATGAAGAGAGGTTATTGGTGCTAGGAGAGCTTTGGGAACTCCGACGGGCCACAGAGGCAAGATAGGACTGGAGAGGTCGCCAGAGTATGGTGAAGAGTAAACCGCCATAAGACCGGAGAGAAAATAGGGAGATAGGAAAATGGATATTAGCTAATAAATATTTGTAGGTAGAAATCTAAAAATCAGATTAGGTCAATTCTAGCAAAGATAAGAAAAGATGAATTGATGGAAGAGCTGAAGTATGAAGTTTAAGGCGACGCCAAGTAAAATCAGCTAAATCGGCCTAAGGCCAGGCGGGCCATAGCATTTATGAAAAGAGGAATAAAAATTATAAAGAAATGTTCATCTTTATTAATTGAGACTAAAGTGTGGGTGCATTTAAATTAGGTCAGTTTCTAGCAACAAAGGAAAATTGTAATACCAAAATAGAGGAATTCATGTAAAATAGCTATATGTATACGCTAACTAAAGAATGGATAGAGTTCGTTTATTAATGCAGGTGCCAGAAGTGCTTAAAAGTAACACCGTTTAATAAATGGAAAGGTCAAAACTGGAATGCTTTCAGATTTTATAATTCAAACTATAGATAAAAATGGCTAACAATGAAGGTACAATGTTAGAAATACCTAAAAATGGAATAGTAGTGCTGCGTTGACTGAAAATGGAAACATTTTTGATAGGAACTGGGTGGATTCAAGCATGATAAAAAAATCTGTCCTTAAGCAACGCCAACAGAAGGTTGTAGATAGGAGATCAAACAAGCATAATGATGCTATAAATAACCCGTATTTTATCCCTACTGATTAGAGGTTATGGCGATTTCGGAATATTAAATGGATGAGGGGGAAGGCCATTTAAAGTAAGACAAGTGGATAATTGCACATGGTTACTGATGTTATTTTTTCGGCTTTCCAAAAGATAGACGAATTATCAAGAAAATGGGAATTTGCGAGGAGCCATAAGGATAGAGTATCCAAAGTAATACACTATACAAAATGCCGCATTGCCTTGGTTTTTATATCTACGCTAACCAACGTAATGCCTTGTCGGAAATATTCAGACTAGCATTTGAAAATATGGTTAAAATGTGTTGTATTCACCTGGAGAGGCCTGTGCCCGAAAGGCTGTAAAAATTTATAGGCTAAAAAACCTTCACAGACCACAAGATAGCAGCATAAAACCCATTCAGATGTAGTTATCGAATCAATTTAAATGAACAAAACAATCAGCATTCGGAATAAAAGGAATGGAAAACCGAGCAGGAAGAATCACAAAGTGGGAGGTTCAATTAGAATGTAGTTTTGTTAAGGCTCTTATATCCTAGTGGACTCAAAAGTATCAGCGTATCAAAACTACAAGATCACAATTTATTTGCTAGGCAAAGCTTGCATCAACTTTATTAATATGCACTTAAGTAAGATCAAATATGAAGGAGTCAAACAAATAATCAAATGCCAGTTTACCCAATCGCAATCGATTTTTAAGTAAAAAGGATTGCAGTCAACTAGCATTCTTGAATTCGTGCTTAGTTAATTCTGCTTAATGGTTTTTTGCTCTGATGATGCTCTTCACATGACAGATAAAGGCTCAGCATAGATTCATTAGAGTTGGAGGAAGATGCACCGAACGCTTTCAGATGAGATATAATAAGGAACCTAAATTCCTTTAAATAACCAATGCGAATTGTCTTTATTCGATAGGACTTAGGGAAGACAATCTTGGAATTTGTAGATACCCTGAGAGACAACAAATCATTCCGACTGATTCTGGTGTATTGACACTTGAAAAATTCACAAAGAACACAAACACAAAGGGAATCCCCTCAGTTGCTATGTCACCCGTTCAATATGAAGAGTTATGGACAAAAATGAACACCAGATCCCGATAATAATTAAATATTCATCCAAAAGTATATTTATTGCTATCGGTATTACAAATGTGAGGAAAATCGTCCGAAGTTGGATTTTAAGAAAAATTAATTAAGAAACTCCTAAAATAAGCATACATATATAGGTGAATCTCAGGACAAGGAAAATTCAGATAACAATATTAATTATATTGAATGAGAGAGTCGAATTGAAACGTGCATCTGGAGACATTCTTCAGAATAAAGAAGCAAGCGCGGATATAAACTCAAACTAAAAAATGTGAAGGCTTTATTAATAAGTGGGTTAGGTAAGACAATAATGAGAAAGTAGGCAAGTTACAAATTAAAGTAAACCACGAAACTATGAATACAAGCAAGTACGGAGGTAACGAAAAGCGTTCGTAGCAAGCCAAAAGTAATCCAGTTGCACATTATTAGAAGAGTGAATGATAAAACCAGTGATTTGTTTAAAATTAAATGAAGACCTTAATGACAACAATCAAGAAATTATTAAATCCTCATACTTAATAATCATCGATGACTCACGTTTAATTAGAAGTCTCTTAGAAGAAATGGTAGGAAATTAACGTTGAAAATCCTGCTGGAAAGGCGAATAAAAATAGCATCTTCAACAGGAAGAAGACGGGATATTTTTAACATATTGAAAATCTGGTTCGTGGGCTGAAATAGTTTGTCAGATATCGGCGGGGTCAGTATAATAACTCTCACGCTTGAGAACGACAAACTATCAAACTGTGAGGAACATCTTAAAATTAAGAATAAAGATGCTGAAAGCAGAGTGCTTGAGGACAGTTCAGAATAAAAAAACTCCATATATCTTCATCCCAATTCCAGAATGCCTTAACTTAAAAAGGATTGCAAATAAATAGAAGTGGCCACTTCTTGAAGGATAATTGGATTATAATGATGTATACGATATAAAAGACAGATTTTTATCTACAGTACAATGGGTAAGGAGATGCAAATCCCTTCTTTTATTAAGTTAAACCAGAACCAGGGATATTTCTATGCGGCACAAGCAACTAAAAATCTAGATAAAAAGCCGACACTGGAATGGGAGCGACGGAGAATGTCACCCGATAAGTGAATGACCGATATTATTCAAAAGGCGTTGGGTGGAAAGTAAACTATAGCCAAAATCTAAGATATCTCCTAGGGAAGTGAAACCCAAACTGTGCGCCGCGGCCTCTTAACAGGGGCGCTGCGAAATATTGTAATAGCTTCAATTTGAGAAAACGTCCAGTGATATGAAGGCTCATTCATCACATTAATTAGTAAATATTAATTTAATGTTAATAAAGTAAAAAAAATAATGGATACACGAGTATTATTTATTTTTATCTCTTACTTACGAATAGTCATACTTAGGGTAGGGCGCCATGGAAAAATTTTAATTGAAAAAGGGCGCCGCAACTAGGAAAAGTTTGGGAGCCAGTGTCCTAGGGTAGCATTGAGAGCCTATGAAAAAATTAATCTGAGTGACAAATCAGTCAGCTCGTGTTTAAACCTTGTCCTTAATTGGAGAAAAGAAAGAGATTTCTCACCTGGGCAACACCAACTCCAGTAGCCAATATTGCTGTGGGAGAAGATTTTTCTGCATCCTGGAGTCCAGAAACTAAGTTTGTCAGGAGAGGAGATGATTGTGGAGCAGTAGCAGTGACAGTGACAGATCGAAGGATTGGAGGAACAGGTTCCGGCTGTGTGGGTGAAGCAATAGAAATAAGCGGCATATCTGCTGGGGAACGAGTAATAATAGTCTGATCGACAAGATGCCGAGAAGCAAGTGATGCACTTCCAGTGACAACCCCCCCACCTGAGGATGTATAGTCACTCATGTACTGCTCATCGTACTCCGCATCATGTTCAGGTAATCGATAGAGTTCTGAACATCGACAATAGAAGCAAAGAAGGTAAACAATAGAGAAGAATAGACAATGAAACAAATAAAAATGAGGAATACCAACAGAACAAAACTACAGAAGATATACAGTATCGTGGTTGTTTGACCTTGTTTTCGCAACATTGTCATATTGGTAGGAAGACTCATTGGAACGCACCTAGTCC